AAAACTAAAGTCCTTGTCCAATTTTGATAATTATTTTTTTGTGTCATCAACTTTTAGTTCTGCACATATTTTGCATTGGGACCATCTCCATATTTCTTATGGTTTAGCAAATAGCTAGGGTGTGTGGGAATGCCCCATATTTAGTATACCACGTGACCAAATTCTACGGATGAAGTGTGGGGAAGAAATCGCGGATATGGCACTATTATATGCTCTTTACAGAATCTAAATACCTCTTATAGTTTAAAAGATATGAGAATTCTACAAGCGAACGAATATATTGACCGACATCTACGGATGAAGTGTGGGGAAGAAATCGCGGATATGGCACTATTATATGCTCTTTACAGAATCTAAATACCTCTTATAGTTTAAAAGATATGAGAATTCTACAAGCGAACGAATATATTGACCGACTCTTTACTAATATAATATATTCAATATTAAAAGTCATCAATGGCGCTAACAAATAGATTAGCATTATTTAGAAATTTAATATAAGTCCATATAGTTAGCATGAGAACTAACACTACCATAGAATAAGCATTGCCATAGACTTAGCATTACCCGTGTTAAACATGTAATTTTAAAAATTAGTTAAAAGTTACCTGAGCCCTAAATTATTTAATCGTTAGCAAATTCACTATAAATGCTCTAGGTTAAAGGATTCTTACTTATTTTCTATTTTGACGTACAGTATATATATTTTATTAAAGTGATATCTGAAATAATATCACAATAGTTCCATCGATTATATCACTTGTAAATATATTAACAGGTTAAAATGGATTTGAACTCTGAATCATTTAAATGCGATACATTATTATCGGACAAGTCATCTATTAGTAGTACTAATGAAGACACTGTTAATGTACTAATGGCTAAAAAGTTGGACAATACTTACGAACCGCCCGAAAGCAAGTTGGACTCTATATTTTTAGGCATAACATACTTACATGTTATTGACATAAATAAAGGTATGTAAAAACTTTATAATTACATCTTGGCATACAGGGCCTATTATACGATCGTAAGTTACCACATATAAACTTGTCATAGACTTGAGCTCTAATCCCATAGAAATCTATGTTAAAGCGTTCCCATGTTCAAAATTACAGAAACGTTTTTACATATAGCGAATATAACCGTAAAAATGACATTATTCTACAGGTGATACTGTGTCTCATCAAGTTCAAACATGATTCATTGTAGTTTTATAATGGAAATATTGTTTTAGTATATAATTTTAAAGTAAGAGTAATAATATGTAGGAAGTATATTTCTTGATTTAGAAAAATCATGTTCAAACTTGATGTTGCATAGTATCACTTGTTAAGAACTGTCATTTTTACGGTTATATTTGCTCTATGTGAACACCCGTAGCGCCAATGTTTCAGTAAGTCTGCCCATGTTATTTTATAAAATTTTTCCCATGTTAAAGTATAGTCATAGAATTAACATGGAATCCAATGTAAAATCCCATAGGGTGGGGGAGTTGGTGCCGAACACTCTTATAGACAGCATTTTTCATAAATGAATTGTTGTTAAAAATATTAACTACATGTATATTTTAAAATTTAAAAAAATACTTTAAAGAAAAGACCTTTAATACATGCAATTTAAAATCAAAAAGTCAAATTCAAATGCAATACAATGATTTATTTTTGTCAAGTAAATGGCAACATAACCAATGCTGCAAACCATTAGCAGCCACCGATTGGTTGGCTATTGTGGGCCCAACTCGTGTGCAACCAATATAATAGTGTTGTATTCAAAGTGTGTATTATTTTAGTCTATGGAAACGCGTGTAAGTATTGTTTTGTTCACTATATGATTGGGTTGTGTTGTTCACTGTATTGAGTGCCAGAGAGAGAGAGAGAGAGAGAGAGACGTAAATTACTTGAATAACATTGTTGTTACCAAGTATTGGTGCTAGATTAATTTATCTAAATTAAATTGTTTGTCACTGCCTTTGAATGAATAATAAAGTTTTCATAGAAGCGATCAATACATATGCAACGCATTGGTCGCCCTCTGGAGAGCACACGTGGAAACAAGGCGTATAAACCATGATATCATGCAATATCATCACTAGTGGTGACGTCACGCATACAGCGATGCCGAAGGTTACAGTGTATATACAGTACAGTCTGTGCTTTCAAACGAGCTTTACGTTTGGTTAACGTTAAATGATTTGCAAAATGGACGCTGTTTTTCAGGATAGTGTTTAGTATTTTCAATTAAATTGCTCTGTGTCAAAGACTCTATTCAGTACATTCAAACATGGTTTTTCATACACCATCGGGGTCCTCACTATAGAGGGGGTGGGGGTGAGAGAGTGTGTATATAGTGTAACAGACATTGATATAGTGGTCATAATGGCTACAGTATTACGTAACCTACCATTCATTCATTTGGCGTGTCGGCCATATTTAATCTAGATCATCACCACCGCCGCCACCATCATTACATAATCACCATTTAATCTATATTGTCATTAAAATGGCCCTCTTATGAGTCAACCACGTTGTGGTCAACTATTGTAAAAAATGTCACAAATCTCTGCATTAAAACGTATAACAAGTAATAATACAAATGTTTTCAACAATAATACTGTTAACAAATACCAAGACGTCTCTCAACACCACAATTGTAACCAAATTATACTCAATAAGGACTCCATACAGGTCTGTATGCCTCCCGATAACCCCCTCTGCCCTCCAACCCATCGCTAACAACCCCTTTATGAGAGAACCCCCGCAACCCCTTAAGGGTTACCCCCTTTTGTTTGCCATAAGTTTTTTGTTGCGTTTAGTTTTAATGGCGTTTGTGTTGTCTGTCTGTCAGCTATACGTATAGCCCAACCACAGCCCCCCCCCCCTAAACATAGCCCCCTAAACACCATATATAAAAATCAGTCTGTTTTACCCATTTTCCTGGGATATAACCCCCGGGAGGGGTAGTGTTTCTAACGCTGATATGGCATTGAAATGTGTTGTCTATGTTATGTATTAGATTACGTGGTGTTATATTACTAGAGAGAGATTAGGGGGTCAACTGGTCTACACCACAGCCCTATCCCAGCCCCAGGCCTATCACTATATAGCCCCCCATTTTCACGCCATCAATATATTATAGCAGTATTTAATATACAGTTAACCCCTCAATAATACAGGTATACATCGGACGCGACATTGAATGCAATTACCGGATCTCAAGCATCGAAATCAGTCGCAAACACGCGCTGATCGAGTACTCGGTGTCCGATAACTACTGGAATATTTCAGACTTGAATGTGAGTACACTATACGGAGGTTTGATAGTACACTAACTGCGGTACGTGATGTGTACGCTATACCTGAGATAGAGTGTATTGACGAGAGTGACGGGTGACTGAGTGCGCCCGCGCGGGCCGTATGCGCCCCCTATTGGTGGTCACGTGTGGTTGTAATGAATCAATTTGTATGTCCAGTGGTTTGCGTTGAATTGCAATGCATTGCGTAAGCGATTGGCTGTTGTGTTAGTGTTGTTCACTATAACGAGGTTTACGTTATTAGTGTTGTATTCAAAGTGTGTATTATTTTAGTCTATGGAAACGCGTGTAAGTATTGTTTTGTTCACTATATGATTGGGTTGTGTTGTTCACTGTATTGAGTGCCAGAGAGAGAGAGAGAGAGAGAGATAGTGTTGTATTCAAAGTGTGTATTATTTTAGTCTATGGAAACGCGTGTAAGTATTGTTTTGTTCACTATATGATTGGGTTGTGTTGTTCACTGTATTGAGTGCCAGAGAGAGAGAGAGAGAGAGTACACTATGCGAGAGAGCTATACGTTTGTCAAACGTTTGCCTAACGTTTTAAGTGTAAAATGAGTGCTGTTTTTGAGATAGTGTTTTGTTTTTTGATTTCATGTGTGTAAAAGTTTTTTTAGACAGTGTTTTGTATTATACGTGCTTTTTGTACACTATTGAGGCTTTTGTGTGTTATAGAGGGGGTGAGTGTTAATGAGATAGTGTAATCATAGCGACAGTATTGCGTAAGCCATACGTTTAGTCACGTACTGTAAATCACGTGCTTTTTTGTCGTACACTATAGGTGTGAAACATAATCACACATTGATTTAGTTGTATTATCTAGTAATTAATCTAGATTATCTTTTATTTGTTATCACGATTAGTCCACAAACGGCCTGTTTGTCAACGCCGTGCAGCTCCAGTCGTACAGTCCGTATCGGTTGGTGAACGGCGACAAAGTGTCGTTTGGTCCGCCAAATCAGTCACAGTTTTGTTACCAATTTGTGGACAATTACTCCAGTGGTGGTCAACAGCCACTCACACAGCCCTCATCCCAGGGCAACGGCGGCAGTGGTGTTGTTGGCACCGGTAGTAGCGGTGGTGTTGGTAACGGTTCCGGCATAGCGTACGAGTTGTCGGCCATCGGACTGACCACTAGTTTACCCACTGTTATACCGATCGTTACCCGCATCCAGACGAGCACCGGTAGCGGCACATCGGTTGGTGGCCTCACAGCCTCTGGTTATCGGCACTCATCGTCCCTGAGGCTGGATATCGACGCCAATCAGAGCCGAACCATTTCGGTATAGTATTCTGCGGCCAAACTCGGCGAACAGTGTGACCACATTTGTATTCACACCCAAAAACATTACTATCCATATTAGTTGACGGCCAATATGCCGACCACTCGAAGCGGCATTAACTACAGCCTATCGACCACTACCACCACAACCAATACGAGTCGCGGCACCCGATCTCCCCGTATGTCCACAGGCGGTGGCAGCGGTTCCCACACATCGGGATCCGGTTGGAGGTGCGGCACCACATTCAGAACCAGTGGTAACCCATACGTGGACCACGACTACAGTAATCGTGGCCAGCATTCGTCGCCCGCACCCAAAGCGGTGAAAGCCGCCCGTTTGGCGCGCATACGAGAAGCCATCTGTCGATCGCCACTAACTGTGGCACCGATGATGGCGAGGGGCGAGTCGTCCACAGCGGCGGCCAAAATGGTGTCCGATTCGGAGCGCAAACGTTTTGACAAAGAGTTGGCCAAATTGGAGCGCACGAAGCGGTCGCTGGAGGAGCGCTCGGCCGGCGAGATGGAAAAGATCCGGCGCCGGGAGTCGCACCTGAACCGCAAACAACAGGCGC